TTATTATTATTATTATTATTATTATTATTACTATTATTATTATTATTATTATTATTATTATTATTATTATTATTTTCAAATATTTCACCAAATGATGTTTAACAGATTCAGGAATTTTTTACAGTATTCCCTATAATATTTTTTTCTTCTGGAAAAAGTTGTATTGTTTTATTTCGGCTAAAATAAAAGCAGCTTTTAAAAAAATTAATAAATTAAAAAAATACAAATAAAAACATTTTAGTCAATATTATTAGCCTCCTTAAGCAATTTTAGTTTAGGATTGTCTACAGAAGAAACCACTGTTATACAATGACTTGCCTAATTACCCTAACTTTACCCTAATTACCCTAGTAAGCATTTAAATGTCATTACAGTTCTTAAAAAAAGTTCCTTCCATTAAACATACATTGGGGAAAACATTAATTGTTAATGTGATGCATTAACATGAGAGACACTGTTTAGTCGATATACCCATATGTGATTCCTCTTTCAGTAATAATTGCACATCAGATTGTGACAGATGCATTATGAGTCAGCAGCGAGTATTGAATGGTAAATGTTAAAGATGTCAGAGCAACTCAAAAAAATAAAATGAAATAAAGTATAAAAACATCAATAAAATGGATGTATATTTGCATAAATGTTAGGCCACTTAATGCCACAAATATAAAACCATGTAGTGATATAGACTCAATTGCGTCCAGTATAGGTGTAATCTCTCCAACATCCTATATATACAAGCCTCCCGTCTGTCCTGCTGGCTTTAATATGAGTCTGTCAGCCAATAGCACTATACATGAGATCGCTGTAGGCCGCATGACAGAAGAAAAAAAAGAAACCGCCGGACAAGAGATGCTTTATTGAGTGGGTTTCTTGTTATTCTGAGCTCTCTGTGTCCAGCAGATGTCAACAACCTAAACAACTTAAAGAGTTTTCTTGCTCACTCTGGACTTGAAGACATTGAGGCACATTTTTTTTTCCGTAAAGCTGTTTTGAAGCAGCACAGTCTGGGGAGAGCTGGAGAAAAGTTTAGCTGTCATCCTGGCAATATGGCAGGTCCCAGGTGAAAACACAAGAGAGTTTTATTGATAAACCGAGAACGAGATGTGAATCTACGACATGAACAAGAAGAGACTTGAACTTAACCAGAACATCAGAACTCCATGTAAACATGCTTGTCTGGAGCATAGATTGTAAACGATATGGACGTAGTATCCATGTTGTCACCCATAGGCTTCTGAAGAGTGCAAGTGAAGCTACAAATAGGCGTGGCCCAGGGGCTGCCCAAAAATAGGCAAAGAGGCGGAGCCTGAATGGAGCTGCAGATGCCTTCCAGTATTTTGCCTAAACAGGCTTTTCTTTAGGGGAAATACTCAATACTTCATTTCCTGCGACTCAATTTTATTCTGACCACATGTGCTTGGTTGTATGCTATATCAATAAAGTGTTTAGACTTTTAAAAACACTGTTGTAATACGTTGAGCCGCTAAGCATTATTTTTAAGACATTTCTCTACAGATGGAAAGCGCAAATTACTTCCAAATACTTCAACGCAATGTACTTGCCTTCAATTAAAATGTTTGTATACCCATGTCGGTTGTACATGGATTAACTGTTGTTAAACTGTTTATTTAATCTGAATAAAGTGCTTCATGTATCATGTAATCCATTGTTTACAAATCGCACAACTTTTTAAAAGTCTTCATACACTTTTCATGATGCCTTACAATTTATTAATTCAGAAATATATCGGCTTCTTGGCTTGTATACAC